ATTATATGATTTAAACTAATTAAGATTAATAATTTTATATAACTACAAAAATTTAAAGTCATTACAAAAAACTTTGCAATATATACAAGTATATTTTTGAAAATATTTTTTATTTATTAAAAATTTTACTATTATAAAAAATATATCCTATTCTATATTATATAAAAATTTGATAAAAATTAATTACAACAGTAAAAAGTTTTATTAGTATCAAAGTTTTATTTTTTGAAAAAATTATATTGTATTACAAAAATTATATAAAAATGATCTATATATCCTCAATTTTTAAAAAGAATAGAACATAATTCTATACTTATTATAGTAATTTTATTAAAGTTGTTTTTTAATATAACAAAATAATTTTTTAAAACATTTTAATTTTTATTATTATATATAATGGATAATTATTTAAAACATTTAATTTTTATTATCATACTATATAATATTATAATAGATAACTTTTTAGTTTAATTACCAAGTTTAACAAAAACATAAATTGTTAAACTAACCAAGTTGAGTTTGAATTGAACTAGCATAAACTCAAATTTTTAATAAATTTGTCAGCTCTAATAATTATAATTACAACTATAATTATAATTATTTTATAATTAATTTGTTCATTCTACTAATAGATTTTTTACAATAGTAACTATATAAAGTGCATTATTGGTACTAAGTTAGTAATTTTAATAATTTATTACAAGATTATTTTATTATTAGCACTTTTAAATACTTAATAAATTAGTTTAATAGTGGTATTTTTTAGATCTTTATTAATATTAAAATATTGATAATATATTACTAACATTAGCATTTAATTAGCATAATAATTGACAAATATATTTATAAAATTAAAATATAGTAATAAAATATTAATAAAATGCTTATATTTGCAAAGGTTGCATTTTAATAGTACATTATCAGTGCTGTTAAAATGCTTATTTTTAGCAAGTTCAATTTTGACAGATTTTACAAAGTAAATTACATAATTTTGTGTTTTTGGAAAATTACATGAAGCAATATACTTGCAAAGTTAAACATTTATTAGTATTTTGGACATGAGAAATTCCAAATCCTCATTATGTTGGTTAAATACAAATATCAGTATCAGTATTACAACGAATAATTCCGGAATCAAAAAAACTACTAGTATCCACCACAGTGTTATTACAAATAGTGGGCAAATTGGGTTTATTTTTATGATGGCTACATTGAAAGGAGAAGAATGCCCACTGAAGACACTCTGAATCATCAAAACAGGCTTTGCAACAATCTTGCGAGCTAGCAATATTATCAACTGTGTTTACGTTTGCAGGATCTATTGTATGAGCTTTGTTTTGCCACCCTGGGCCACCGGATGATTGACAACATTTCGGGATTGGTGTTGGTGTAGAGCACAAAGTAATTGTAGGCGTAAAAGTGACAGTTATTGTTTCTTTGCAATCACTATTATCC